TTTTTCAAGTATAAAGAGTGGAGATCGACTTTTTGATCCTTTTTGGTGGGACTGCACTTTTCATATGTTCTTTCTGTTAGCCCCTCTTGAATGTGAGAAGAGAGAAAATACCACATATAGGAGTGTGTATTTTCATCTGGACAGTTCTAGGTTATCATTGTTGCCCTAATCCAGTTCACCTGGCTGGGGGCTCATTTGATACTTTGGTGGAACTTGGCCACAGATGACTTCTGAAAGCTCCACAGTGATGCAGAAGGAGCATTCCACTTGCTTTCAGGTTTCAGTCTTGGAGGCTTCAGAAGACAGAGAAGACTGCTTACTATATGCTTTTGTTCATATAGTTAATCAGTTTCTGTGCTAAAAAAATTAATTTCCTTTTTTTTTTTTCCTAATTTGGTGCCTCTCACAGCTGTTTTAGAGCTGTATAGTCTTCTATATACCTTCTGCTGTGATATATCTCTGGCTTTGTAATCAAATAATTTCTCAGTCTTTTGTCAAAGAAGATTGGACTATTGGAATAATTAATTAATGGATGGTTTCTTGAACCCCTAAATAATGTTTTAGTTCTTTTCAGTGTTTTTGGATTGGTTTGGTTTGTCTGGGATTTTTTTAATTAATCCACTACACCACTTCTTCACCACCATGATCATGAGAGTTCTGGATATGCTTTGGTGCCAGATACATCATCTGTAAATAATGACTATGTCCTGGGATGTCTTTATAATACTTGTATCTCCAGTTGCTTTGTTTATGTTACATATTAGGTTTTGCACCTTTAAGACTGGCTCTGAGAGTGAAGAGGGGGAAGAAGAAGCACACAGTTTGTGTTCAGAAAGAGCCCTCACTGCCCCACATCCTGCTCCTGGACTGTGTTGTCTGCAGCACAGACAGACAGCGGGACAGAGCTCTCCTCTGCTGTTAGTTAGTTTTTAGCTAGCTGAGGCAGAGAAGTTCCCCGGATTGTTTTTTTCCTTTTTCCTTGGATCTGTTCAAACCTGCTCTGGACTGAAAACCCTGGGAGCTCACACCTGTGGCCCACCAGGGCCTGGGCCTGAGCACTTTCCAGTGCAGGAGGGAGAGAGCTACAGCTAAGAGACTGAGTGAGCCAAGCGACACCACATGAAAAGGCAGACTAGGAGGACTGAAAGTTTAATCATGAGTTTTCTTTGAACTTGAGCATAGACCTGTCTGTGAATGGGTTTGATGCCTGATTACGTCTCTGAAGGAAAAAAAGCATTGCTATCAGGGTGGGCTGGCCAGTGAGTAAGGCTGAGTCCAATTTCAGAATATGTAGGAGAAGGGCATGTGGCCTTGATGCACATCACTGCTTTGATTTCAGGCAACCCAGAGAGGTGCAGTGCTATTAGTGGGGTGAAGGGATGGCAGCTAGTTAAGAATAGGGTTTGGCAAGTGCACTTGGGGGTGAACCATGCATTCATGTTGCCTCTAGATTTAGGGAAACAGCTTCTGATGGCGCTGAGCCTCCTTAATGCAAAACTACTCGTGGGCCCTGGTGATCTTATGTTCTATTGCTTCCTAGTAGTATATTGGTTGTTGCCTTTCTATTCTGACCTAGTTGCTTTTCCATCTTCTGTGAGCTCCAAACTGCATTAATGCAAATGTTTTTGAAGGCAGCAATAGAGATGACCTTGCAGCTTTGAGTAGCAAAGGATGTAGCTGTTGGCTGCTAACCCAGGATATAGCCAGGAGACCTGTTACACCTCTCCTTCTCAGTGACATCAGTTCTTTGAGTTCATGGTCTTTGTTTCGATCAGTTATCTCAACTATCTCTTCAGTGCCTTCCAAAGCAGCAGAATATGGTGGAGGGTTCCATGTGTATATGAGGTGGGATTCAGTTAGCTGAAATCCTCAGATTATCTGTGTGACCTTTCCTGGATATAACTCTTGGTATAACAGTTACTAGTTAGTTCATTTTAATATTTAAATAAAATACGCAATAAAAACCTGTTGCTCCTTAGATGAGGCTTGAATGAATTAATACGTAAAAAAAAATTTCTAAGTGCAACTGAAAAGATATTTTAACTTAAATCAACTTGCTGTTTTAGTTTTTTAAACTAGAAACCTTTTTAAACCAACCTAATAGAAACATTAAAATTATGATGGCATTACATCTTTTTATAAATCTTCCGATTTATTATCTTTTTCACTAGATTTAAGAACCTTAAAGGGTGGTAATATTTTGTGTTTAAATATTGATATCTGATAATTTGGAAATAGTGTAGTAAAATTGCACATAGAAAAGTATCATTTTTGCTTGAAGCTAAAGGTGTTTAAGAGGCATACTTTTAAAATGACATAAATTTCTGAGATTTAAGACTAGTTTAGTTTCTAAAATGACAATATTTTAGTTACCTGTTGAAATCTTCTCTTTCTTGAAATGTTAGACGGATAGTGGCAGTTACTCCCTGATAGGGTTTTAACTCTTGAACTTCTTTGGGGGGGGTGTTCAGCCATGATGTTACTCAGATGCCTTGAAGTTGTTTTTAGATTGCCACTTAACTGTTTTCAGTCAAATCAGGTTGGTTAAATGTTTTGGTCAAGATGTTTCTCTGGTTATACATGTGCTTACTGTTTAGTATGGTAGTGTTAAAGTCTTAATTACATGTGTATTTTGTAAATAAATCTCTGTTCAATATTAGCATAATAAACTAATATTAACCTTCTGTTTAGACTAGGATCAGTACTTGAAAATGCAGAACTATTGGTAGAATATGAAGGAGGTTGAATTAAGCCCACCTCACCAGAAGATTACCATAACAGTTTGGAAACATGCTGATGTCTAGGTTATACTGCTACTGAGTTTAATAGGAAAAATCTTTTGGCTTACAGGAAGCTGGATTGAGAGGAAAATCTATTGTTCAAGAAGCCCTGTTAACTTGTATGTGGGCAAAAGAATTGTAGTGCTTCTAGAATGGGTTGTAATTCTTTATTCTGTAGCAAGTCTGGTTTGTTGATACACTGTTAAATGTTCGAAATGTTCTCCACAGATTTTCTATATCTTTTCCTCTGAATACAGATTGAACCAAATATGCATTTGAATTTGGACATAATCACAACAGACTGTTTTTCAGGCCACTCTGTGGGATACTAGACCTTGGTGGGAACAGTTCAGCTTAGTTCTGTATTGAATATCAGTCTCAAGGGTGCAGGGCTAAAGAGCACTTTGAAAATGTAGACCATGAAAAATTTAATTCTGTAATAGTAATATCAACTTTCTGGATAATTGCTGTAGTTAAAGATAAAATATGTCTTTGGGATTCTTGGCAGACTTTCTAGTAAGGGGAGCCACAGAATTACTTTCAGCAGTGTGCTAATGGGAAGTCAGACTGAAAAATATTTGAAGGGAAAAATATGCAAATAGGGCGTTCCAGTAAAAACATGCACGAATGTTGAAGAATTCAGAAGAAATCACATATATGGCACAGGCTGATTAGAAGAAGGGAAGGGAATAAGTTATTCTTTTCTCCAGACAATTTATATTGAAGTTTAAGTAATTTGTTGGTGTGTATTTCTCATTTCTATCCTCTGTTGCTATCTCACCTTACTTTATATCTGTGCTTTGCATTTTAAAAGTACTTAGTGTGTTTTTATGCAACAAAAGCACTGCCAACACAATGATTGTGGCAGAGGATTTCAGTAGGAATGGCTACAGCCATGGTCAGAGCATTCAAGCTCAGCCAGTGGCACATCACCTACATACAGGATGTATGTATATACATTCAGGGCACTAGCACCAAGGACTATAATAGTTGTATCTTTGATTACTTTTCTGAACGCTTAAGTAGTATGTTACCACTTTGTGATACAAACCTGACATTTGCCAAGTGTTGCTTGCATACTTATTGCCTGCTTTACTTTATTCTTATCTTCAAAATGTGTTGTGTTTGTATGGCAACCCCCTGACTCTCCTTGCTAATACTGATAACAGACCACAGAGCTGAAGTACATGAATGGCAAAAGGATTGAAGGGATAACTTCAATCACAGCTGGAAATATACAAGTCTCTCTTTAATACAATCTATTTTTAATAGTAGAATGTTTGATTTTGTTATTGACCAAAGAAAAGAAATAAGCTATATCCTTAAATAGTTTTTTCAGGAGGTGTGTTTAATTTATTCCTTCTCAGAGGATATTTAGGTTGAAGGAAGTCTTAGCAACTTGATTTTTTTCAAAGTGTTGAAGACAAAGTGTTGATAAGGCACAGCCATTCTATTGCACTTTTGTGAAGCATTCGAAAGATCAGCCTTCATGTAAAACTACATCCATTCATCGACTTCAGCTTATTTCATTTGTAGATTTTCAGATATGGGCATAACATGTGAAACTTGCTCTGACTGCTGTGACTTTTTTCTTCCCAACCCTCCTACCTCCCCCAGTCCTGGACCCGTTTAGTTGAGGACATTCCTGGGGTGCAAAGCTTTTGCCTTTTCTTGTTTGTTTGTTTTGTTTGTTTGGGTGATTTTTATTTGGTGGTGGTGGTTTGGTTTTTTTGGGTTTTTTTGTGGGGTGTTTTTTTCAGTTTTTTTGTTTTGTTTGGTGTTTTGTTGTTTTTGTTTTGGGGTTTTTCTTTGAGGGGGGATTGGTTTGGGTTTAGTTTGGTTTGGGGATTTTTTTTGGTGCGGGGAAAGTTGGGGTTTCTTTCTTTTGTTTTTGAGAGGAGGTGGTGGATTCCTTGGTCTCTGTTTAAGAAGAAATGATAATCATGATATCTATCTCTCCAAAATATGTAGTTTCCTTGGAAGAAGTGGGATTTTGGTGTAGATGCAGGCAACTGGATGATGCAGCTAAAGTGATTAACTGGCACTGTAGCTGCCCTTGTTTGCTATTTCTATTTGCATGTTGAAAATACTTAGTACATAGTTTCGTTTTGGGATTTTTTTTGTGTTTAAGTGCTACTTTCAAGAAAAATTTTAATAGTCAGATCCTGTATTTGTCTCTTGTTTTCTCCCTCTTAAACATCTCTTAAAATCTGTTCGCAGCTGGGTCTCGGGCATCTTACAGCAGCCAGCACAGCCACCTTGGCTCCGAGTTAAGGGCACTGCAGTCTCCAGAACACCATATAGATCCTATTTACGAAGACAGAGTTTATCAGAAGCCCCCTATGAGGAGTCTCAGCCAGAGTCAGGGGGACCCTCTACAACCAGCACACACAGGCACATATCGCACTAGTACAGGTAGGTGGATGTAACCTGCATGATTGTCTTTCTATGAGATATGTAACTTACTCTCTGCTTCTAACTCTTCTTCTCTTCCTGATGTGCTTAACCAAATGTATTCTGTTCATGCCAGTCAAATAAAATACCTTTTGCAGATGGCAGTTATCAATAGAACCCCAAATACATGCACAAAACTTAGTGTTGTGCTACAGTAGGTTAAGCTAATTTGGGGAGGGAGCTTACTCAAAAGGAGAGAAAAAATACATCTATTAATCTAGTGTATTGTCTTGGAGAAGGATCTGTTGTCTCTGAAGAAATTGTTAGGATTTATTTTTTGCTTATGAAGGTATTTTTTGTGTTGCAAATGGACTGCAAAATTCCTGCCACACGAAGCTAAGTGATTGTTCACTTGCTTTCAAAGTAAATCATAAGTAAATGTTCTTCCTCTGTCCCACAGAGGCATGCTTTGGTATAGATACACAGACATGGAATTGAACTTCAACACAGGGAAAAGCTGTTAGCATCACTGGTTTATTCATAAATAATAGTGATTGTTCCTGAAATGCATTGGTGTTCAAGTCGTACTTGCAGAATGTCCTCTCAGCCCAATGAGATACAGCTGTATGTTGAAACCCACAAATAGATCAAAAATCAACAGGGATATTTATGGTATTTAATGCACAAAATAGAGTATATAAATTCTACAACCAAAATAGCCTAAAGCAGATGTAGAAAAAACTTGCTTTAGGAATTTTAAGTATTTCTGGTGTTTCATCCTTGCTGTGTTGATCAAAGAGGAAAAATTATATCCATTTTCAGATCACTCCTATCTTCATCAAGGAAAAGTTAAGTGCACTTTTCAGAGCAAGATATTTTGCTTTCTTTTAAAACTATTTTTTAAACTTTTTTAAAAAACCCATTTATCCAAGGGAAAAGCTGGCAGTTTTTACGTGTCTGACTGCCTTATGCAAGTTCGAGTGTTCAGAATACAAGAGGAAATCTTAAAAAGGAAATTTAGCCAGATAATTATCTAGCAAAATACCTGTAACAGCTTTATGCTTTTTGAAGGGCAGCATTGCACCATTTCTCTCCTGTTACAGAAACTACTACAGTCTTATGTTTTGTATAGAGTCACGCATGTATATGAGGAAAAATTACTATGCTGTGCTTGAAGGGGATAAAAGCTCTGCCTACATCAGTGAACAGTGGAGGCAATGATAGTGATTGAAATTACTGTTTCTATTGAACTTTAAGCCTCCTGTTCCACATGTGCCTGCTTCATATTGCCTATATGATGCTGTCTTTCCCAGAAATGCCCTGAAGAGGGTTTCTTGTTTTGCTTGCAAAATATCCCGTGGTTGTCTGTGCTGAAGTAGCAGGCTGTCTTGTGACTGTAGCGTTCACAACACCTCTGTAAGGAAGGAAACCTAGTCAACATAGATAGTCAACAATTACAGTGAATTATACTGGGACATTGGATGTTAGTTGATTACACATGAAGATGGGTTTTCAGAAGGAAAGAGAAAAAACTAAAAAACCCACAGTCATATGAGTAGCAGAAACATGCCCTGTGAAGGTGAGTTTTGTTTTGCCACTTGGGATGCAGATTTTAACGTTGCTACAGGCTCAATCTAAAGAAAGACCCCATCAGTCCAGCTTTGTGTTGGGTTGATCCACCCTTGCCTTCCCCCCTGCACCCCTATCATCAGGGTCAGGGGAAATGAAAGCAGATGGATGTGTACCAGGCTGATCACTCTGTTGCTCTGTTGGTGGGTGCAGATGCTGTCAGCCTTTCACACAGCCAGGCTGAAGAGCTGTCAGTGCTCAGAGGGGATTTTGAGCTGGATTGGATCAGCTCTTGGACTCCTACCTCTAGCACAAATACCAACAGGAACATATCCTTTCTGATGGAGACAATACAATATTTTCAAATTAACAGAAAAGAGGGAAAAGAATTCAAGTTTGAACTTAATTTTTTTTCCTTTTGTTGGTTTTCTTAAGTGTTTGACCGTTTTGGTGTTTTTGTTTTGTTCTGTTTTGTTTTGTTTTTTATTCTAGGACTAGATTGCTATTTGGTATAAGATATGAGGGATGTAGATTACTGTGTACTCCAAAATACACGCCAAGGCTTCATGGCATGTATGTTCTGTGTACATGAATCATGGTGGAGTGGGGAGCTTTAAGACTTCAGTGCACTCCATCGTACACCACAGTTCACAGTCTTTGTCTATCACAAAAATAGCTTTCATCATGAAGATGATGCATGCTTTTCCACATGTGACAAAGAAGAGGGAGGACAAAATTAATCTAAAGATGCTGTCCGAAGCCTGGATTCTTTTTATCTGCAGCTAACACTACCCATTGGAAATAAAAATTAAGTTAGTTATACTTATACTTGCAAACTATTTAATTTTTTTATGTTTTTTTTTAGTGGGGGTTTGTTTTGGTTGATTTGGCTTGTTTGGTTTTTTTTTACTTTTATTGTACTTTGTGGGGTTTGAGGGGATTTTTATGGGGTTTCTGTTTGGTTTGTTTGTTTGATTTTAAATTTTTTGATTTAGAAAATTTCACTTATTTTGGAAAAGTAACCAAGAATGGTTACTTACTATAGACATCACCTCTTTCTCTTTTGTGAGACCTTAAATGCATTCAAAAATGTTTACACAACTGAGGATAAAGCGCTCTCAAGAGTTTTCCATCTTCTAGGTGAATGAACCTTCAGTAAGCGAAATTCAATAAGCTAAAATTTCTCTATGGGGTAAACTAAATTGAGTTTGTTCTATATACTTATTGTTGTTTGGGTGATATTCTGGTTTTTAACTTTGGTATTTTCTTTGTATTTCACTTGAGAATGAAATGCATGATGATAGTTCTGCACTACATACTGCAGAAAGTACAAAATGTGTCTCAACATCTCCCCTAATTGCTTTACATAGGATGAATTCTTCACAGAATCACAGAATGGTTTATGTAGGAAGGGACATTAAAGATCATCACATTCCATCTTCCCTGTCACTGACAGGAAACCTTTCACTAGACCAGGTTGCTCACAGCCCCATCCAGCCTGGTCTTGAGCACTTCCAGGGATGGGGAGTCCACAGCTTCTTAGGGCGACCTGTTCTAGTGCCTCACCACCCCCACAGTAAAGAATTTCTTCCTAATATCTTATCTAAAACTATCCTCCTTTAGTTTAAGTCCATTTCCCCTGGTCCTATCACTTAGTGCTCTTGTGAAAAGTCACTCTCCAGGTCTTATAGGCCCTCTGAAGTACTGAAGGGGGCTCTAATCTCTCCCTGAAGCCTTCTCTTCTCAAGGCTGAGCAGCCCCAACTCTCTCAGCCTGTCCTCACAGGAGAGGTGCTCCAGCCCTCTGATCATCCTGGTGGCCTCCTCTGTACTCACTCCCAACAGTTCCCTGTCCTTCTTGGGCAGAGGATCCCAGAGCTTGGTGCAGCATTGCAGGTGGGATCAGTTCTCCCCAGAGCAGAGGGGCAGAATCCCCTCCCTGGCCCTGCCAGCTACACTGCTTTGGATGCAGCCCAGGACATGGTTGAATTTTTGGATTGCAAGCAAAAATTGCCAGGTCATGCTGAGCTTTTCGTCCACAAACACTCCCAAGTCAGTCTCCCCAGGTCTAGTCTTGATCCATTCTCCACCCAGCCTGTACCTGTGGTGTAAATGACAGCAGGGTGTGTTATTGTCATGCTGTCTAAAAATAAGAATTTGAAACATATTTGAAATAATAATCTGAAAAATAATGTTTCAAATTTGACAGCAGAGGCTGTAAAAGCTCGTTTGATTGTTAAGCTTTTACTAAACAATCCTATTTGGTCTTCAAAGGGTAATGTCTTCTCTTGTGTAAAAAGTACCAGCCCAAACTTTTGTGCTAAAAGCAGTAAGTGTGAAATTTTCCTTTAAAAATGGGAAGCCTCAAAGGATGTTCTTGGAGGGAGTACTCAGACACAATAGGAAAAGAAGATTAATTTATTTACTGAATAGCAACTTATAGCTTGTATCTGTAACTGAACTAAATAAAACTAATAATTTTTGTTCAGGCAGGTTTGTTACTGCTTTTCCTCATAAACCTAAGGGTTTTGAGTTGTTCATACAGTTAGAGATAAGCTTATTTGATGAGATGTTTGCATGAACACAGATGGAATTTGAAGAGGGCTGTTAATTAAGAGGGAGGTAGGGTTGCCTTTCAGCCAGAGTGGCATATAGAATCAATGACTGTTTGCTTATTTGCAGAATTGGAATTTTGAACTAGAGGTTTTGTCTATAGTTATTGACATTTAATCCACGTCAAACTTGAAAACAGTATTTTGCAAGCCTGGGATTGCTGTAGCTGCCTTGAGTATAAAGCATCCTCACTGCTCTGGTTGTGGGCTCTCAATGCTGACTTGCCTCTCAGGAGCACAGCTTTCGCAGCTAAGGAGTCTGTGTGAACAGTTGTCATCAGCCTCTGGAGGCTGGCATCACTGTCTGGAAGCTCATGCTTCTGTTGGGCTCCCTCAGAGAAACAGATGAGCCCTCTTCTGTAAAAAGGATGTAATTTCCAGATAAAATTTGTAAAAGCCTTGAAAGAGTACTGTCTGGGAGTGAAGGATGAGGAATGGGAGAGCTGCACTTGTTCTGAACTCACTACAAGGATGGACTTTATCAGATAAAGTAAGTGTCGCTGTGTAAGAGCCCTGTTGCTGCTAGTGAACTGTGAGCATTTAGGTCTTAAAACCTGCAGAGTACTCATGCTTTAAGAGCACTCAGTGGTTTCAGGGGCTGCAGGAGAATACTTTTGACCCCAACCTTACAAAAGTGACAAGGATGCACTGGAAGTGTGAACCTGTCCTCCTCAGCTCTGTGAAGGATACATGCATCTCACTGGCATCAGGGGAACTCTGGGCAGCCTGGATGAAAGCTTTAGGGATGGTCTTGAGATGCACAACCTGAGAATGGTCTCTGTCTCAGTCCTCTGAAGGACACCATGGAGAAGGCGTTGTGATGCAATTCAGTCATAGTTGA